GAAGTGGCACAGAGATGCCTGAGACTGCCATCCATGACTACATGTGTGGGAGTTAATAGGAGCCGAAGCTGGTGCACAGCTGATCTGTCCCAGCCCGCACTACAGAGAAATCCCTGAGGGTCTGTAACTTTCTCTCAAAGCCAAATATGTGGCCTTGGTGTCAGAAGCCTCTCCCAGACCTTTGTGCCCTCTTGCACCAGCCTTCAGCCCACAGCCACCTTCCTCTGCACACAAAGCTCAGTGGAAGATATAGGTGGCCTTGTCTTCATGAGACCATGATCTCATGAAGACGTTGTCCCATAGGAGTTTCCCCAACACCTACAAGGCTAGGGCCTTCAGATTTCGGAGCAGTCCTGTGTATAGGAAACTGCTCAGTGCTGAACTTCTCTCCCAAGCCAGTCTCAGCTGGACTACGGAATGCACATCACTGTGATGTGAGAGGAGGCAGTCTCTCTTCCAGGCCCCTCCTACGGCTCTGGCGTCAGAAGTCCTGTTCCTCAGTTGCTCTCAGAAAGGAAAGTTCCTTTGAAATTGTATATTTGCAGACAGCATTGACAATACAGGTTTATGTTCTTTCCCTGTCGGCCTTCACAACTCCATCTTCCCCACACCATGCTCATGTCAATCCTCAGCCTCCTCAACATGATGTCTGCTCCCAGCTGTCCTCTCCCTTCCTCTGCACCCTCACCTCCATGTCAACCACAGCTGCCTCAGTTCAGGCCATTCCTCATGCGTCATGCTCCTCCCACCAAAGGCCTTTCCACTCCATGCTGTATTCTCTGTGTCAACACAAGTCTCTTCTTTTTTGTTCTTTCTCCAAATCTCAGTTTATCTACCACCATCTCTAGGGAGATACTCTTTCAACAGTTTTCCTAGGCTGCACCTCCTTATTGTAAATGCTCACAGCTTATGATATGCATTAATATTCTTAGATTTAGCACCATAGTCATTTTCCCTGACTTTGTGTGGCAATTTAATTGACACTTCTCTTGCATTCTAGACTGTAAAATGCATCATTTTACAAATTGTGGATGTTTTGTTCCCCATTTTATTATCAGTACCAACAACGGTTCCAGGTGCCACTGACCAGTCTTGAAAGAATAAAGAACAGATATTGAAAGGCCCTCTGAGTTCCCACATAGATGTCTGGAAACATTAAATGGGAACCTTTATCCCTTCATCTCCTAGGATCAAATGAGTCCTGGAAACATGAGAAATCCCTGTCATGGATGAGTCACTGGATCCCAAGCCTTTCTACATGACTGAATTTCCTATCTGCCCATCGCCCTCCTCCCTAGTCTCCTTCTTCAATCTCCTTCCCTCACAGGTGTCCTGGAATTGGGAGTCTCACAGACACAGGGCACCTAATCACTCTGAGAGAGTGATTAGAAACATAATGTCAAACACTGGTATTAAAAGGTGATGGAGAAGAAAACAAATGACTTCCCCATTCTCTTAGGGAGAGTTTTCTTAAGGCACAAATATCTCTTTGGGTGACTTTGAGGCCATGGTGCCTGATACACTGAGCCATATTATGGGTGTCCATTTCCATGAATTGGTGGGCAATGCCAGAGACACAGAGCTCATGGTCACCAGCTTCCTCCAGCCCACACCTGGTTTTGGTGCAGGGCGCTTAGCAGAGACCTTTGCTTGTTCCCCTCCTTTGCCAGTCAGAAAAGGCTGGTTGTGAGACAGAGGCTCCATTTACAGAGCGGGGCTA